TTTTTAATTGATGCTTTCCATTCGTGATTTTGTATCCTTTTTTTTTTAAGTAGGTAGGAGGTAAATGTATATAAGATATTTTAGTCCAGGGACATCATATAAGAGAGTCACATCCTGATGTTATCAGATGTAGGACTGGAAGCACCAAAATGAAAAATGAGGGTTAATTTCACAAAACCCCCTTCAACTTTAGGGGGGTGTTGCACATAAACCCCCTGGAATTTATTTAGCTCACATAACCCGACACACACACACACACCCCCAACACCCCCGCGCGCACGCGGGGAGCTGTGGGTTGTCTCAACTTTTGTTTATCTCACCTAACCCCTTGCCTGTAATTTGCAAATAACTAAAATGTCTACCAGTAAAAAATCCCCAAACTTTGTCACCTGTCATTTATAAGCAACATACTCCTTCTGTTAGACCCTAGAGGGGGGTGATTAGGGTCTTATGCTAATCTAATCCGATTAAATGCCAATTAAAAACTAATTAACAAGTTATCCTAGCAAGTATGAAATACCACAAGATATGTGAGCTAGGATAAGCAATGTAAACAATGAGATATATCCTATATGATGAATTATATATATATGCAAGGATATATAAACTAACACAAGGGGTAAACAATCTAAATAGGATAGTGGATGAAATGAATGAGCAATGCACAATTGGCGATATAAGATGAATACAAAAATAAATACGCCAAAGATAAACTCAAACAAGCAATATGATCACGGAGTTCGGACCTTCCGTCCTACGTCTCCGCTCCCCACTCCTGGGGAGAAATCCACTAACACAATCCGGTTTGGAAGCCGGAACTTCTTCTACACACTCGGTTTTCTAGCTAACCGAAAACTCTACAACTCACACTCTTGCAATCACACTCTACACCCACTAAGTGTTGGACCTAGCCGTGTCTCCCTCAAGTGCTCGGTTACAACCTCTCCCTAGGCACGTCAACCGACGCCACTCCTCTTGGGACGATCCCCGACTCTCACCACACACTCCTCACTCGGTGTACAAGTGTATTACAAAGTGATTCTCACAATAAGCACAAATATGACAAATGATTGTTCTCAAAACAAGGTGAGAACTCAATTAAGCACAACTCTTAGTCACAAACCCACAACCCCAAATTATACTATGAATGTAAATACAATAAGCTCAAAAGGTTGTGTGTGAACAAAGAGATATAAATCAAAACTAAACTCAATGTAGTTCTAGCTTAATAACAATGATAATCAAATATATAAAAAAGCTAGAAATAGAGTTTAGAAAACTTCTCAATATATCAAGAGTTGGAGGGAGAATAGTTGAATGCCCAAACACCAATAGATGATCTCCTCAAGCTCTTGTAGAATTGAATCACAAAAACAAACTCTCAATTTGCTTAAAAGCTTTTTAAACACACTTAAACCAAACTAAAACCCTTGTTAAAAACTTTATTAAACTTGATTAAAAACCCTCTTGGTTAGTTTAAGAGTTGAAGGCAATGGGGTACTTATACCCTCTCTCAACTCAGCCAAAAACCTGAGCAAAAGACAAAACACAACCCCAAGGCAACGGTCAAAAAACTAGCCGTTGCAAACTGAAGGAACACTCGTCGGTCGACCGAAAAATTCGTCGGTCGACCGAAAATTTTCATCGGTCGACCGGACCGATCGACCGACAGGCTTCTGTCGCCCAGAGAACTTTTGACCTCAGGTTCGGTCGACCGTACCGGTCGACCGAAAACTGACATTCCAGAAAAAATCGGTTTTAGAGCTGATTTTAAAACACTGTTTAAAAATATCAAATAAATTCAGAAAAATGTAAAACTTTGGGGAATGATTGTAGACATGATAATAAACATGCTACAACGACTGGTTTCGAAAAAGGACTTCCCGGGTGGAAATTTCGGTCGACCGATGGTAAATTGCGGTCGACCGGCGGAAATTTCGGTCGACCGACGGTACTGAAGCAGGTATATCCGATTTTATAAAATCGTTTAAAAATAGTAAAACAGCTCCAAAAATTATGAAATTTTTATAAAAGGTTCTAGACATGTATAAAAACATATTAGAGAAAGAATTTCTGAAAACGAATTTTCCAGTTGAGAGAAATAAATGTTTTAACACAGAAATACAGTTTCTGAAAATCTGCTGTGATACACGATTTTGTAAAATCAATTAGGCACAGTAAATCAACTCCAAAAATAGTAAAATTTTGTGGGAAGTTTCTAAATATGTAGATAAACATGTCAGAGAAAGAATTTTTCAAATATAACTTCTCATTGTGAAAACTCATCAGGTTTTGTAAAACATGCACGAACATGTGCACTAACTATATATATACATAGAAACCAAATACGTGTGTGTATATGATATTGAGCTTAAGGTACTTAACACACATAATATAAAACCTAAACTAGATTACCCAAGCCGATCTTGATCTTCAATAAGCTAGACTTGGTACACTTTGCGGATGAAGCTTGAACTTGATCTTTAACTTGAATTGTATGTTGCTTCACTCCACAATTCCGCCAACCTCCATTTGATATCGTCGTTATGACGCAATCCATCCATCCTCCAACAACGTTGTTTGTCTACAAAACATAGGAATGCACAAACACTAGACAAACAACATTAGTAATAAATTGTTTGTTAAACATCATCAAAACAAGAAGGCCAACACCTTCCTAGGGGTGCATTTGGTCCGGATACGACTCTGATATGATGCTTATTATATCCATATTTGCTTACTCATTTTGGATATGGATACGAATACATGTATACCTTAGTAAGGAAAAATCATAACCATATCCGCTAAAATCAAATACGGATATGGATATACATGCGAATATAAGACGGATATGAGAAAACTAGATAATGTTGAAAAAAATATAGTTAGAGTTCATTAATATGTTCATTATATCTGAAAAGTTAAGATTAGATATCTAAAACGTCAAAATTAACCTCAAATCCATAATCTAAATATTGGGAAGCGCGTGTGGGGGCCACGAATCTAATCGTGGAAAGTGCACATGTTTTCATAGCTGGGGTTTATCAAGAGATGTGGGGGCCAGTGTGAACGGTAGAGTCATGTTGAGCACAAGATCCATCGGATCCTTGTGAGGTCCAAACTTTGAAAACCGCTTCCAGGCTATAAATAGCCACTCCTCTCTAGGGTTTTGTGCGTGCAAGATTAAGAGGGGGAATAGGCAGGCGGCTGGGTGCAAAGGACAGAGCAAGGGTGTGTGCTTTGTTTCGGCTGCAGGAGAGAAAGCAAGTACAAAAGTGCAAGAGTAAAGGCAGATGTGATTTTTTGGCTGCGGGAGAAAAACGCAGAAGAAGTCAGTCATCCTTTTGTTGGGTTTTGTGCATCTTTTGTAGAGAGATATTGTGAGAGATCTGAGAGATTGTTTGAGGGTTTAGATTTGAGAGATTATAAACCCTATTTGTATTCTCTTTTCCTCTATTAGTAGATCCCCTCCTTGCCCCGTGGACGTAGGCAGTTTGCCGAACCATGTAAAAATTGTGTTCTTGCCGTGATTTCTTTTAGGATCCCTCGACGCGCAGTTCTAGAGCTGACGAGAGGAAGAGCTAATATCCCACTTTGATGAGATATTAGGCTTCAGATTCTTGTTCCCTTTGAGAAACAAGAATTCTTATCGATCTTTCTCTCTTATTGTGCACCAGAAACTCTGCCAAAATTTCCGCTGCGCACAACACTAAAGATTAAAACCATTGTGACAATATGACTAATATGTATTCGGATATTTTGGATATGGTTACGAATATTTCACTATAAAATGATATCCGTAACCATATCCTATTGGTTATAGATTTGAGTAACCATATTCGTATCCTAACGGATATGATTACAGATATTTCCTCATATACGGATACGGTTTAGCACCCCTACTCCTTGCCCTAAAGTTTGAGTTTTTCTTCCTCTGAAGAAAATTTTAGTCATCTGTAAATTACAAGCATGGGGATTAGGTGAGATAAGCTAAAGTTCAGGGGTTTTTGTGAGACGCCCGTAGTTTATGGGATATGTAAGATAAACAAAGTTCGAGGGGCTATGTGTAACCCCCCGCCCCCCTCCTGAAATAGTTCAGGTGTGTTTTGTGAAATTAACCCGAAAAATAACTTAGTATAGAATTTGACGTAAACAATAGCACACGATAGATAACGGTTCTAAGAACAAAGAGGAAGGTCAAAGTCACAGTGAACACAGCTACAATTTCTTCTTAATTTTTGTTCTTTAAGCTCAACAATTTTTCTTGGATCCTTTCTTTGTATTTTGGAGGATTAGACTCCATATGCTTGAAGTAACACCTAAAATAGTGCTGAGTTAACTGACTCATGGGTCCACGGAAATTAGGTTGCATTTTGTGCTGTCAGAGCTGTTATTGCTTCATAAACTGGTGTATGAGGAAAACTTTCCCAACAATCTTAGTGCAAATCTCTTAAAGAACCAGTTCCTTGTTGATAATCCACTTAATAGGCCAACATGAACTGGTTTCTGCATAAACTTCCGTAGTATTTGGATATTCACTATGGAAAGTCAAATTGAATGGAATAAATAGTAGCCTCCTCACAATGTTCCTTTCTGTTCCAAGTTTGGTGACATAAATATTATCCTGACAGGTTAAACATGGAAAACTTAGTGAAACTGATTCACGAAGATACTTTCAACAGCTCATTGATGGAGTGGAATATTGTCACACCAAGGGTGTTTACCATCGAGATTTGAAGGTCTTCCATGCATTGAAATTTTGAATACCATCCTGCATTTGATTGCATTTAAGTTCTTTTACATTTTCTTCTACCATGCACAGCCTGAAAACCTTCTCCTTGATTCACAAGGAAATCTCAAAATTTCAGACTTCGGCCTCAGTGCGCTGCCAGCGCAAGTAATATTCCAACCTTTATGTCCTAATTAGATTTTGTTTGATAAATGTTTCCTTACTGACGCAATGCCTTGCTTTATTTATTGCCTTACAGGGTGTTAGGCTTCTCCGAACTACTTGTGGTACTCCAAATTATGTCGCACCAGAGGTACTCAATGGAAAATTTCAGAATACAAATCCTCAAAGAAACACAGGTAACAACAATCATCCTTCTGTCTAAAAGTAAAAGTTAATACTAGAATACAAATCCTCAAAGAAACACAGGTAACAACAATCATCCTTCTGTCTAAAAGTAAAAGTTAATACTGCTAATGAAGCAATAAGATTGGATAGTGGAGCTCTTATTGTATGGATTGGTACGCAATTTCTTAGTGCCATACCTTCTGTCTTTTCCCCATTATAGTAGTCATTTAGTTTCTACTTGTTTTAGCTTGTCGCTTGCTTGTCTTGTACTATGTGAATTCTCATGTATATTCTAATTTATAGTAATAAGCATTAAAATACTATTATAATAAAAAACAATCATATCCCAACACTGCACTAAAATAAAGTTGATAAAATTCAGAAAAGGCTAGGATTCTCATACTATGGGATCCCAATATCCCATCATTGCTAAAGAATGGGATTGGCTATCTAATTTGTCGCTTGCTTGTCTTGTACTATGTGAATTCTCATTTGATCACGATCAACAATCATCCATACTTTTTAGTTTGTCGCTTGCTTGTCTTGTACTATGTGAATTCTCATATCGAACTTGATTATGTTCTTTTTTTTTATTGAAGCATTGTGAAACCAAGGCCTGGACATGTTCTGTTGCTTATAATGTTTGTGATTCTAGATGTATGATTTTATAGAAAAAGTTCTTTTATTATTTTTGTTGTGATAAATTACTGGAAATATGGAAGGGTAGCGTTAAATTGTCATTAAATCTCTTGTAACTGGTGTTAAGACTATGAATTAGGACATTATTATGTGATTTAGGTTATTGACCATGCAATTTAATATTTTGCAACCTTAGGACGACACTCCAAGTTCCCCTATAACAAAAAGACTCTAGCGCAATTAGATGAGAGGGGAGATAGAACGTTTTGTTATGAAGTCAAATTCACAATTTGCTTCTGATCATTAAGTAAAATTATGGATGGATTAATTCCTAAGGGTCAGAAAAGGCCAAATCAAACTTAGTAGTGACGTTGACACATAACACATGACTAGATTAATTTCTCCTCCAGTGAATTTGGTAAAACACATGACTAGATTAATTTCTCCTCCAGTGAATTTGGTAACTCTTGGTGCTGTGCATTGAGGACGAATGAAGATTTGCCATAAGTTTTTTATCCTGCATTTTCTTTGGATATTTTAGCTGATAATGCTTATATTTGCCACTAATGTCAACATCAGATTCTTGAAGACATATTGGTTCTTCATCGTTTATTTTTTTCTCATTGTGCTTAAACACAATTTATCCTCATTTATATGCAAACTGTTTACACGTTTTGGCTTGCATTTATTTGCTTATGGACATAACCTTTGCACTTTTACTTGAAACTTTAAGAAAAATTATATTTTTGAGGTATTAAGTATGAGGTGCATAATGTTATTGAGTAACTAAAAATAGATACAAGTTACTAAGAACTTTTTGAAACAAATGCTATAAGTCTGTAAGCCACATTTTGGTTTAGTGGAAGTCTGAAATAAGCTAGAAAATTGCACAAAATGATGTGATTATAATTCAGAAATTTTGTTCACTCAGGTTCTTACAGCACAGGTGAAGAGTGTTGAGGACCATGGCTACATTCTTCATTTTGGAGTCCCATTGTTCACTGGGTTTCTCCCTAGGAGTGGTCAAGGTATGGAAAATTACCATGTACGGGTTTCCCTAATGATTACTGGTTATTTCCATTTTTCACCCATATTCATCTCCTAAAATTTTCTCCCTCTCTATCTTGTAATTTGCAACTTATCCTCTTTATTGTTTGTCCTCAGATTGAGGTGATTGTAGGAAAAATATTTCTCCTAAAGACATTATAATTAACAGATATCAGTGGTCAAGAGAGGGAACATTTTAATAATGAAAATTAACAGAGATAAGGTTCTGAATGGCAGATTTTAGTTATATTTGTTATTAAGAATTGGGCACATTTTGTTATTAAGAATTGGGCACATTTCTATGTATTAAACAAAGAAACAAAAAACACCTATTTTATGAAAAAAAAATTCCTCTAACATCCACTTTGTCACAATTTTGGATGCTGGTATTTATACATGCATACTATATATGTTTGCAGTACATCATCTATTTTTAAATTTAAATTTTGATAATGTGTTTACATGTGCTAATCTTCAGTATACAATAGCAATGATGGGATATGGTCCTGAAGACAGAAGTGCAGTGTTGGAATTAACCTACAACCATGTAGTGAAGGAATATGACAAAGACAATGCATATGCACAGGTAATCCTTGTTTCCTTCTACAAATGACCAGTGTAAGATTTAGGATCTGTTATATTCAGATGTAAACAGTTACATCGCATACTTCTTATGGATACTTTACTGACACAGTCTTTTCCTTTGCGTTAATGTGTTTACATGTGCTAATCTTCAGTATACAATAGCAATGATGGGATATGGTCCTGAAGACAGAAGTGCAGTGTTGGAATTAACCTACAACCATGGAGTGAAGGAATATGACAAAGACAATGCATATGCACAGGTAATCCTTGTTTCCTTCTACAAATGACCAGTGTAAGATTTAGGATCTATTATATTCAGATGTAAACAGTTACATCGCATACTTCTTATGGATACTTTACCGACACAGTCTTTTCCTTTGCGTCACCAATTTTTTATTATGCCGGAATGTGGTGCACTTAGGATTTTTATGGTTGGCAATCGCTATGGTAATTCAGAAAATCACCTTGTCAACCACGCACTTTAAGAAGTTTTCTCAGAATAAGAACAAAAAGACAGAAATTACTCCACTTCAGCTACCCCCACACCCACCCCCTAAAAAAATCAAAATAAAAACTATATGCTCATTAAACTCCCCTACTCTTCCGCTTCAACTCCAACAGCATAACCAGCCTACTCCAATAAACACTCATTAACTTCCACATTAACTACTTGCAGAGCTACATGAACTCATATAATTTTGATCTTTCAGACCTTGTGCCCCCTAATATCTTATCTCACCTTCTCCACTCATTTACAATCACAAATCTAAATCCTAGATATGGCCCCAAAGATTCTTAACAAAAAAACCTCAATGTTTCTGGCTAATCCACGATTATAAACCAGATAGTTTGAAGCACTAAATATAGGATATTTATGACATTCTTACTATCTAAAATAAACATTGGATATTTTTCACACTCTTACTATCTAAAACAAGCATAAACTGTTTATTGTTTCTTTCATATTAAAAGAAGAAACGTTGTTGACTACATATTGGGAAAAAATTGTTCCAAATGAAGGAAACTAAAATATGTCAAAAGTAGAAATTATTTTTTCCTCCTTCATTCCGGCATTTGCAATCAGAAAAAAATATAAGAAAAGTTGTGTCATATATTGATTTCAAATTTAAAAGCCTATTCTATATGCCTAATGAAGTTTTTATTTTATTTTATTCAGGTAACCAACAAATGAGAGTCCATGAAAATTCTAGATTCAATCTATCATCCAATTATAGTGTTCTCACTCCTCAACCTGGCACATGATTTATCTATCATCCCCTAAACTCTTGTAATGCTACAACAAACCTGGCACATGATTTATCTATGCAAGACATATCAAACAATTTTCTATTTATCTGCAACCTTCAAGCCTTTTGCTTTACTCAATTACTCATCACGATCACGATCACGATCGCACCATTTATTTTCTTTTGAGAAAAACACATGACAAGTTAAACAATGTAATGAAGATATGATGATTTTTTATTGAATTATTGCTTTGATACAGTGACAATTTCATCTGGGCAGCACTCATTACTCTCATTTATGAAGATTTAGTTTGGCGTGTCACCCATAATAGTGTTTGATCTTTTTTATGAAGTTTCCTTTAGAGAGGTGTTGTTTACAAAAATGACCGGGAACCTAAATCTGAGCAATCATATAATGGGATTTTGGAATGCTTGCTGACCAAGTAGAATCTAATGACATCATAGATTGCAACAATGACTGAAAGAAATTCATTTTTTTGGTTGTCTATTAAAGTCCTCAAGAGTACTATTTATTCTAATACTTTCTCGCATAAGGTTTACAGGTTTTGGCACATTGCTTTCTCTATAATAAGCTGAAATTTACTTTAGGGAATGCCTTCTTAAGTGTGCGATTTGCTCAAGTTTTAGGTTCAATGATTCTTTTCATACAAGTGGAATTATATCTCCTTGTTCATAGTTATGCATTTTTCTTATATTCTATGCCAGCATATGGAATTTATTTGTTGGCAGACTGATTTGCTATATGGTGAGGTTTTTGCATATGTTTCTTGTGTTTTACTTACATTTTAGTTTGTTACGGTTAAGCTAGGAGAATTCAAACTAGGAGAGTTACTGGACTCACCTCCCCCAGGACTGGATGAAACAATTGCAATCTCAAAGGTATGATATTTTAGTCAAGCTGTTAAACAGAGATTGTTTTGTTTATTTTATTTTATTTTATTGGCAGAAAATTGAGTTTTTTATGCCTGTCAGATTTTTTTCTAGGTTATGCAATTTGTTGAATCACAAGAATACAATATTTTTAGTCGTATAGTATGTGTTTGGATCTGCACCATCATGGCTCTTATGGCTAAGGTACCTGTTTGCTGCATTTGACATAATCCTACTTGTTTTCATGTGTTCATGTAATTTAAATGTGAGTATATAATTTCAAATACAACACCTTTTGATCTTATACCCTCCTGGCATCACAAGCGAGGTCGGCATGATATATATAGCTCTGGCCTACATCAAGGTACCAAAAATGTTTCATTTTAGATTGAGTTTCTTCTATTTGCTATCATGAGGGAATGACTTCATCCTTTGGTTTTTGGTAATGACAAGCCTTTGAAAAATACTTCATTAGGATGCCAAACAAGTGGAACTTCTCTTTCGATTATTTCTATGCAGCTATCATTGCTCTTGGAAATTACGTGCCAAGTATGTATCTGATATTTTCACAATCTGTGTGGTTGTATTGGTGTTCTCTAATCCCTAAGATTGTCTTCTTGTTGGCAGGGAGTGCTCTTGATATAGTTGTGAATGTATTCCTCTAAAAAAACAGATTGCCAATGTTTTATGAATTATTGATTAAATGTGTTTGCTTTCAGCTGGGTGCTCATCTCAAAACGCCTTATTTTATGAAACGTGATAACAGTGAACTTATTTGCATTTCTTGTTTGGTTATGTTCACCGTCTAAAACCTACTATAATACTTCTACAGACATTTGTTTAAAACCTACAGGGGTTTCTACTTTCAGGATTATTTATGTTGTAATAAATATTATTTGTTTGAAACATGGATTAAATTAAATAAATCATAATGAAATGAATCAATAATAAAATAATAAATTTAAAAATTTACCACGTGCATGGCACGTGCAATCCAACTAGTGCATTAAAAAAAAGAAAGAAAGACAGAGATACCTGCAGATTTGTTTGGCAATATATTAATGTGTCGTCCAATTGCCTGCCACTATTTTTACCTTTCAAGGCGTCTGATGTGATCCCAATAATCTTAATTAAGCGTTAAACGAGTTTCCTTTCCTTATTGGGAATTCCATGACGCATTCGCCAAGACGACTTTGGCTCACAACAAGAATTTTCTACTATATATAAAAAAAATGATTTTGTTGGAAGAGAAATCTATCCTTGGTCTACGAGCTAGAGCAAAGAAGGGGGCCGTCACCATCCACAAAAGAAACCACAAATCATTTTATTCCATTACTTGCGAATGTCTTTGCCGGCCGACCTCTCTTAATTAAGACACAAAGTTTATGATAAACTATCTTATTGTGGGTGTATCCTCTTACTGTGGCCACGTAGCGATACCCATTAGGCTCCCACGATTCATTTACAAGAAAACCTTTTATATATACTAGATTTTATGCGCGTGCAATGCACGTGGTTAAATATTGTTATTAGGCATTTTTTTGGTTTATTTTCTTACTAAAATTTATTCCTTAGTTACACTTTGATAATTTTCGCTCACTTTAATTTAAGTATTTTTGGTTTATTTTCTTACTAAAACTTATTTCTCGATTACACTTTGATTATTTATTTATTTATTTAATGTTTGTTTGAATAGGCTACACACAGTTTAAATTTTTATGCTGATAGTTGAATTGTCAGGAGATAAATATAATCTAAATCCAATTTAAATTTTTATTTCATTTGGATCGGCATGAAACGAAGCTTGACCTAAGGAAGTATAGTGTTATGAAAGTGAAAACACTTGAAAAAATAATATTATAAAAGGAATATGAATAATTAAGTCAACGAGCCAAGATGATTGATTTGAAGTGGGCTAAAATGACAAAAAATAGTTAATGAATAAAATCATAAACTAAAGATTAATGCTAACTCTAGTACACTTTTATATGATAAAAGCATCCACATATGCGTATGAAAGCACTAAAAGTAGTTTATGAAAATCTCTTCTAAAGATTCCTAATTTTACTAAAAAAATTAAACTATTCTATAACAATTCACAAAATATTATCTTTTGTTGCTTCTATTTTATTTTTTATTGAGTCAAGACCAATCATTTTTCATCTTTATCTTTTTCCTGAGCAATACTAGAGTAGTGTCTTCATCGTTTACATTGACTGTGATATGAGGCTGGAGCATGTTATCTATCCTTGGGCTCGTTCAACTTTTGTCTTCTCGTCTAAATTCTCAAAGAAGTTGAATATATTTCTTATGTTCAACAAAAAGTTCTGACAATACGGACTTTGATTTTTGAAAAAATTGTGTCAAGATCCCAAATTTCAAAAGTCAATGTGCCCCAACCACTTATACTTTTTGTAATGTGCTCCATCCCCTAAAATTTAGAAAAAATGTTCCCAAGCCCCTCCAGCTCATGATTAGCTAATATTCCACCTAAACTCCCAATTTTACCCATCTTCTCTTTCTCCTTCTTCTTCTCCTTAATCATCCTCCTGTTGCGCGAGGCGGAAGCCAACAATCAAACCAACTATGTGCTTTGAGAAACCAAACCTAACGAACGCCGAGAGAAGGCTAAACAATCCAAATATAACGGCACAAATCCAAACACAATAGTTTAACGTGGTTCGGCAAGTTGCCTACGTCCACGGGGCAAGGGGGATGTGGTTTTTACTAATAGAGAAAGAGAGTACAAACTGAGATTACAAATCACTCAAAGCAATAAACTAATCTCACCAACAAACCTCTTAATCTCTCCAAATAAAACCCTAAACAAATAGCTCAGAAAAATACCTCTTTTCTGTGCTCCAAATATCTCCCCAACAATCACCAATTAAAGCCAAGGAAACCCTAAAAATATGTCTCTATTTATAACAAAACACAATCCCAAACTGATTGGGATTTTAAAAACGAGTCTGCCACACCCTGGTGTGGCACACACCACACCCATGACAAACAAGGCAGATTCTGCCACACCAGGGTGTGGCAGACACCGCACCCATGGCAGACATGGCAGATTTTGCCACACTCATGGCAGACACCACACCAAGGTGTGGTGGAGCCTATTTTGCTTATTCTTCACGTTTTTCTCAATTCCTTCCTCAATTCCTTCGCCGTTTTCACACCTCCTTCCTCCTTCCTCCCCGACGATCCTCTTCCACCAGCGATACTCCACCGGCAATCCTTTTCCACCAGCGATCCTCCACCGGCGATCCTCTTGCACGTCTCCTTCTCCTTCCTCATCCTCTCCTCCCTCATCCTTCTTCCTCCCCGGTGATCCTCCAGTCCGTCGCCGACTCTGTATAGGCTCCACCGAAACCGACTCAATCTCTCCTCCCCAGCGATCCTCCAGTTCCCCGGCAATCCTCCTTTCTCATTTCTCATTCTTTCCTTCCTCATTCTCTCCTCCCTCATCCTCCTTCCTCGTCTCCTTTCTCATTCTCTCCTTTCTCAATCCCATCACTCAATCCCAAATCCGACTCCCTCCAATCTCCACTATACTGGAGTTTCCCCCTAGCTCCTCGCCCAAAGAAATTTATGAAAAATCCGTTCTGTCTTCAAGCCCCATGGAAAAGGACTAGGTGATTATGTTTTGTTCATTAGAAGCAACCGGCCAACGTGTATATCTAACCGAGATGTTAAGTGAATTAATTTTTGTTTAAAATTTTATTATACCTAGGTCATTTTTGTTGGCTTAAAAATTATATGTAGTTTGTACATGATGCGTTGATAATTGAGAAATAAAAACCTACATACAAAAATGCTCATTTAAAATAATGGATGTATAAATATGATTCTCATGTGTGAACATTCTCATTTAACATGTTAACTGTAATATGTAGCATGTTAACCTTAATTGGTAAAAATTGATAACTATATTTAGTAAACTATTAACTATAATCCATCATATGTTAACTGTTATTTATAATCTGTTAACTAACACGCTTATCTTGTTAACTATTATTCATTATCTGTTAACTGTTATTTATAAACTGTTAACTATAATCAATTATATGTTAACTGTTATTTATAATCTGTTAACTGTTATCATTTAATGTGTATATAACTTGAAAATTTTAGCTATATATATGAACTATAACCAGGGTGTGATATATAAATGTTGTACAAATTTGCTGCCGCATTAATATGTTAACTGTGTTTCTTTAAAGTAAAATGTAAAATGCAGCGGTTCTATATCACGCTTATGTGTGAACGTTCTCATTTAACATGTTAACATGTTGTTTGTGGAAAAATTCGATGTAAAAGAAATGAAAGAAAAATTGATTTGTATTCTCTCAAAATCGATTACAATTAGATTTCCTGATTACAAAAGAGAAGAGAATGATTTGGATTCTCCCCTTTGTTTAAAACTGTGTTCTTCACGGTGGCGATGGAGTGCCTCCCTCGAATGCTCGCGTCGAGTTTGCTCTCCGTTGACGATGCGATCGTTTTGCTTCACTGGAACGATGTCTTCTCCTCACGATTCGATGCTGTGGAGAACTTGCGTGGCAAGTTTGAGAACTCTGAACGAGTTTAGAATAACTCTGTGAAAGAGTTGATTTTAACCGAAGATCGGTTAACAAGCCAAGGCTAGAAGAAAGCTCCGGTGGTCGATCGTTGCTGAGGATGAACGTCGATCTCTCCCTCGCTGCCAAGCCAAAAGATCTCCTCTTCGCTGCTGAAAAGAGGATCAATCCGAGCCAAGAAATTCCAACCATTAACTCAGTTGAGTTTTCTCATTTTTATAGGGGATTAAGGGGGTGTAACCGCTCCTTAAATCACTCCTAAGTGGGGTGTAACCGCCCCCAAATCGTGGAAAACGGTTTTAGAACCGTTCAGCTCATGTTGAATGAGTCAAACAACGCCCAAGTTGGCGTTCAGAACCCCAACTCCACGTTTTAGACTGGAGACGCGGAGTTGGGCACCCGCTGGGTGTTAAAAAAAACGTGAAGGCCGCCCGCGTTTGGTTTGCTGAGGATTGGAAACGCGGGGGTCGCCTGTGTTTTGGTTGTTGAAGCTTGGAAACACGGGGGTCGTCTGCGTTTCAAGAATTGGAACGCGGAGATGACTTCCGCGTTTAGAAGGGGCTAGTTGACTTGTAGCCTCTTCTGTAGAGCGTTGTAAAGACCATTGTTGAATGATCTTTGTCTTGGCTCCTTGAAAATATGAGAGTTATCAGATTGTAACTCCCAATGTTGATTGTGAAGGCTGTTGAACTGGAGCTTTCATCGGTTGTTGTGAAGGTTATTAGATTGTAACCTTCATCGATCTACGTGAAAGTCTTCGAATTATAGCCTTCTGGAAGTCGTCAGATCATAACTTCCATCATCGGTGTTTGATGGGGGATCAGCTATCTATTTTGATTTTTAGACAGCCTACACATGTTAACCTTAATTGGTAAATTGATAACTATATTTAGTAAACTATTAACTATAATCCATTATCTGTTAACGAACACTCTTATCCTGTTAACTATTAATTATTATCTGTTAATTGTTATTGTTAAACTATTAACTATAATCCATTATTTGTTAACTGTTATTAGTAATCTATTAACTAACCCTCTTATCTTGTTAACTATTAATTATTTATCTGTTAAAATGTTATTTGTAAACTGTTAACTGACTGAGAATGTTCACATTAATATGTTAACTGTTAACTATCCTGTTAACTGTATTTCTTTATCTAAAAATAGATTACAAATAACCGTTAACAGATAA